CGAAGGTGGCAAAGAAAACTTTAAGGAGGTTGTCGAGACGGCTAACGGATATAGGAATGCCGGCAGCTCAAACAGGCAGTGTGAGTCTAGAGGATGCGGAGAATGTTGAACAAGCCGCGCGCGTTCTACGCTCGGAGGACACTCGAAAGCAAAATACGGCAGCTCAAAATTGGCCTGATCGTTTGAAGAAGGCCAGAAAAAATCCGAAATAGAGCAAAGAAACCGATACCAATTCACAGACGCTCGAGGTACGTACAGTACGCTAAAAGGCACGTTTCTGGGCGATTGCTACAATTTTTCTATTATAAAATTGATATTGTCGTAGCTTTCTTTGAGTGCATCGACAACCCGTTAGTGCGAATTTGCGGGAGCTGCGGTGAGCTTTCAAAATCTGCTCGGATGGTCAAGAAGCGCTACCTGCCGAGGGAAACATACTTTGCTCCGTTGAAAAACGCTGACAGGGTTTGCGAAGCAATTGCTGAAGCAATTACAGAGCCCGATGCTAGTGGTGTGTGTTTTATTTGGATTTGCAATCGCTGCCACACTTTTTTGACAAAAAAAAATCCCTAAGTTTTGCCGTGCAAGTGGCTTTCGTATATCGCCTATACCAGTTGAACTAGCTGCTCTAAACCGAACAGAGGCCAGATTAGTTGGTCTTGGAGTCTGTTTTACTACGTGCATGAATCTCTACAAAGACCAGCAACAATTTAAAGAGGAAATTCCGTAAATTACTGGAAGGATGTTCATGAAGTGACACTTTCGTTACCTCGGCCTTTGTCGAAGTGCGGGGTAGTTCTCTTAAGATCCAGTACAAGTCGAGGGGAAACATTTATCAAAGTTCGACCTGATGTAGTTCGAACTGCGTTGCAGTGGCTGATAGTACACTACCCTCTTTACAAAAATGTTACGATATCAGAGAAGAATTTGGCTGAAATTGCCAGTTCGGACCCTGATGCGTCATTAACTAGCATTGAACTCAAACAAGAGGAAGAAAATGAGCTTCGGACGACGCGAGATGACTTACCCCGTGGACAAGACACACGAGATCAGCAGGATCACCCATCTCAGGGTGCAGCTCACACCATAATTATCAGTCAAACTGATAATGTGAACGACCATAATCGGGAAAAAATCGCACTGACGAATGTTTTGATGTCGAGGAATCGATTGAGCTACAAGCTGATCAATCTGATACGCAAACCGAGGCAGAAAAAATATTTTTGCGGTGAATGTTGCAGCTGGAAAAACTCACTACCCAGTGGGCGAGTTAAAACGTTGGGAGGATCC